AAAAATGTCAAGGCTCATTATATTTTAAACAGGTCTTATCGCAATTTTATTATTATGATATTAGTTGAAGATTGATCCGATAGCATAGAAAAATAGAGCATCGTTTTCTCTATCATTGTATAAAAATAGAAAAGTTCTTTGAGCTTACTAGCTGGAAATAAGACGTATCTCCGACAGAACTTTTGAATTGATCTAAGTATTTTTTCGTGAAACGGTTACGTATTAGGAGCAAGTAGATTACTAATAACTGAATCATACTTACATTTAAAACTGAACTGATATTGCTAGTGTGCAAATAGATTTCGATTAATAAAATATACCCATTAAGATAGTTTTCGTTTGATTTTGCTTAGAGTGAGGAAGATTGAAGAGGGAAACAATTCTTTGCATTGGTTTTACATAGTAAAATATATTCTCAGTTAAAACTTACAGGCCATATAATCAGCTGGCGATGGGAGGGAATCGAAACTAGGGGATTCCGCCCTAAATATTTTCTTCCGTTATAGTTTTCTCCTTGAAAATTTTCTTGACAAGCACTTAGTGGATTATAATATTTTAGTAAAGCAAATGAACTATGCAAACGGAAACCGTTTATTTTCTCTCATAAAAGACCGTTTTCAACTGCCAACTTGTTTTGGAGTTCGGACTCTGTGCATAAGGCAGTCTCTATTGACACATGAAAACCTCCATAAGAAGAAATTCTCCCCTTAGGCCTTCTGTTCAGAGTTATAGGCATTTTTACTACAAATTGAGCCCATGGCATAGCATACGTCAACAAATCGGATAGCAATATTTTGAGCTGAGATTTTGTTCACCAACACATCTATTAATGAGCAAAATGACCTCAAAATTTCAGTTCAAAAGAATGTTTCCTTCTCAAAATATTGAAGCCTCACAAATCACTCATTTCTCGCGCAAGATACTACAGCTCTCTGTTTTTTCAGATTTCAATATCTTGACAAGGAAAAGTTCTTTTTGAAATGAAATTTTCAGGACAGTTTGCTCACTAACCGACCTTTCGGTGGACAGAATCCCGGATCTAAATACAGTCATCCGATTTGTTGATCTTTGCTATACCATGGGCTCAAGTTATAGTAAAATGCCTATAACTCTGAAAAGAAGGTTTAAGGGGGAGAATTTCTTCTTTTGGAAGTTTTTCATACATCAATGAGATCTGCCTTATGCACAGAGTTCGAACTCAAACACAAGTTGGCAGTTGAATATGGTCCCTTGTCAGACAGAAAGTTTTCACTCGATATCTCAAGCAAAAACCAGTTGTTGTTTCATCAGGACAGTTAATCTACGAAATAGCTGAGCGAAACTGATTCAAAATCTCTTTGAATTTGAAATATGACCTCTTTGAAATTGATGCATTTTCTCTTTGGATGATCCACAGAGAAAATGAATCGATTTCATAGAGAATATAATTTCGAATGTAAAAAGAAAATGTGTCAGTTTCGCTTAATTATTAAATAGATTAATTGTCTTGATGAGTCAACAGCTGGTTTTCCTTCCAATATTGATTTCAAGTTTTCTGATTGAGAGAAAATAGATGGTGTCGTTTTTGCATAGCTCCTTCAGTTCACTAAAATTTTATAATCCGCTAAGTGTTTGTAAAGAAAATTTCCCAGAAGAAAGTTATTAGGGAAGAAAACATTTAGAGGGAAGAATTCTTCAGCTTCTTCCTCTAATTGTACACACTGGATATTTACATATCAAATACAAATGAAAAACATGATCCCAAATCATTATTAGATAATCAATCAAAACTATGACGATCGAAAAGTCATAAAAAATTAACTGTAGCATCATTGTTTATGTCTGTCATATTAAAAAACATCGCTCAACACTCTAGTAAAATAATATTTAACAAAAAGAGAACGACTTGTCGATTTACTCGAATGACTTATTTTTTTCTTTTCTGTGGATGGGTTTTTTGTAATATTCAATAAATGCTTTCTTATCTAAAAGACCTAATGAACAATAATGAAAAAAGTTTTAAATCACGATAAAAGAACAGCACATACTGAATGCCAATGTTGAATTACTTCAATTAATAATAAAAACGATCGAAAAATTATAAATCTAAATGAAGAAACGACATTACCTTTCTCGATAATTTGCGAAGCCTTTAAAAATACAGCCATTTTAAAAATGTTCTATGAGAGGAATGAACATTTATCAGTCAAATAAAAACGAACGGTTTGAAGTTAATTACACAGATAAACGGTTTTTCTTTTTTTTTTCGACATTTATCGATGAAAGAATCTATCTCAGAATAATATACTTTACTTTTTATCAAAGGGCAAAATGTATTATTGAGTATTTCCTTTCACTTCACGCCACACATATTGAATAGCATTTAAATAAATAAAATCTGTTAGATATATATGATTATATACTTCATGTCGAAATTTGTATTTGCATACATTGCGGAGACTGCTCAAGTTTATTTTAATGTATCGAAGAAATCTAATATTTTGATATTTGAAACATGAAATAAATGAAATAACAGAGAGCAATGTCTCAAGACATATTAGTTTTCAAGGTTTTTTTTCTTTTCTGTTCTTTAAATTATGACAAAAAACGTATTTTAAAAATCTTTAGAATACAGTTTATTGATCAATTGTCTTCTTTTCAAATAATTGAATTTGATTTAGATGTCATAGCAAAAGATGACGTCTGATAAGCAAACATCACTCAATATTTCATTCAATGGAGGCGATGTATTGCTTTTTTCATTTACCTACCCGAAGAGAAAATATATGAAAGAAAAAAACACTACCAAGTTTTATATTTTGATGAAAAAATTAAATAACCGTATTATTTTAAAAGCAAATTGTGACAAACACTATTTGAATCAATCGATGTATTTCTACAAATAGCTGAGTATTGTGTTAGAAAAATTCTTATGAAAATTCACTTATCAATATTCAAATCTTAGTAAAATAAATAGATTTTGATAACTATAACAAATATCATTCTTTAAGAAAAAGTGTGAGGGTGAGTAAGTAAAATGACCAAGCAGGACGACATCCTCACTCCATACCCACACCCTGAGGAATACGTAGCTATCTAATTATATTCGAACTCTGTTTCAAGACAGAGAAAATTTATGAATGATTTATTAGTAAACAATCGAAATTTTTGACCGGAATGTTTATCAGGAAATCGTCTAAATAATAAAACAATTAAACGATTCTCCAATGATGAAGACAAAAAACGACAAGTTATACAGATGAAGTATTGATGGGCAGGACTTTTTCAAACATCAGCTGTAAGACTAATATGTGATATGGAAGATAATTCGTGTTTTATCGATTGTTGTTGCTGTTGATATCAACGTACAAGGTGCTTTCGAACGGTCTTTCGATATGGTCCTCGATAGCCAGGTTTGCTGAAATGATTAAATGGAAGTGCATCTTTTACAATAGCTTCAATTACAGCAGTATTAAGTATTTTTTTTCTTCAGCAGACAGTTTTTTCAATGATTTTGGTGGCTGTTGTCTTCTTTGAGAAGGATATAAAAAAATTAATCATTTCATGTGTTTTTCCTAAATGACTTCGTAAATTAGTGTCCAAATTTTCATTCGTTTTGCAAAATATCTGAACATAAAGACTAATGAAACATAACACTTGTCATTTAAATATTTAAAAAAATCTTTTTACAGAATATATTATAAATTATCTGATGATGTTCTTTTGTCACAAAATATTTCTAGAGACTTCTGTTGATGCGAATCTTTAGGAGTTCATATTATCATACGAAAAGAAAAAACTATCGGAAATTATAACAATTCGTGCGGAAAAATTTGATCCATATTTTCTTTTGTAACAATAGCAATATATTTGCAGTGAATCATGACCAAGTTTCAATACAGTTTTTACTGAAACTTCGATTTTTTATTAAATTGAACATCAATTGTCTTTCTCTATGGTTGTGCATGATGACAGATTAGCTTCAGATTTTTCGTATATACCAGATGTTACAAACGGATCTCGCTATAAGATTCCTTTGATCTTTGATGTGATTAATATGATATAATATATCAGAATATATATTCTCTAGTTCAATTTGTTGAGTTTATGATCAGCTTAAATAGTATGAGATTTCCTCAAACGTATCTAGCTAGTCTAAATAATATTTTTATTAGAAAAAAATATAAATGCGTAAGTCAATATTGTTCTTTTTCAATGAGTGTCTAATACAGCTAAAGATTAAAATGAAACAGTTTTATTTTTATTTCTTTATCTTAAATAATTTAATATTTCATTCTCTATGTATATCAGATATCATCGTCAAACACTATATTGTCGTTGTTTATTGACCTATGGATATAAAAAGAGATATATTACCATCTTGATAGGATTGTTGTTTAATATCAATGAGATTCATTTGGAAGAAGAGATCATCGTATGATATATTCATTGTTGTTCTAAATTACTAAAAAAAATTAATTTATGTGTTGTACATATGAGTACTTTGTTGAAATTTATCTAATTTTGAATTTTGAATAATTATATCCATACACCGCATCGTATTTATATGTACAACACATAAATTAATTTTTTTAGTGTTTTAGAATAACAATGAATATATCATATGATGGTTTTTTTCTTCCAAACGGATCTCACTGATATTAAACAACAATCCTATCAAGATGATAATATATCACTTTGTATATCTATAGGTCGATAAGCAACGACAACATAGTGTCCGACGATGATGTCTGATATACATAAAGAATGAAATATTAAATCATTTAAGATACAGACATAAAAATAAAACTAAAAAATAATAAGTAACCTCTTTCATTTTAATCTTTAGCTGTATTAGAAGCTCATAGTTGATTCATTATTCCATATAAAAAAAATTTTTTCATGATAAAGTCCTTTTCTTGTCAATGCTTAACATTTCCTACAATGTCGATTGTCAGTTTTTTTTAACAGACTTCTCTTTCTGCTCTCACTTTCGTCTATATGATGGCTTGTCTGCTACTTTAAAAAGCTGCTTTTAATAATAAACATAATTTTGACAACTTGAAACTTTCAAAAAAAAGACGAACACTCAACAATAATAGGAAAAACTTACTTTATTAGTATCAGTAGACAAATTGCATTTAAAACCTCCATCTGGTTGTCTGGTTAAATAATTCAGGACATCTTTTTTTGTTGCGATTGTTGTTCGTTTTGTTTGATGTAATTCATTAACTATTTCATTACTATAATTTAAATGATCATTTTCATCTTCTGTTAATGCACCATTGTCGATAACTGTATCTGTTATAACCTCATCGGTACCTAAATTTGATATTGTTAGTTATTGTGTAAGATCATAATCCATTGGAGTACTCGATTCATCTGGTTGATCATTACCATTATCTCGAGATAATACTATCGATTCGTTCATTCTCAAAGATTTTGATGAAGTTTGAATAGAATAGATTCTTTTTGAAGTTGATTTTAACATTCTTCGACTCAATATAGGACTTGCTGTTGTTGATTTTGAACAGTCATGAAAATTACGACGAGTTGACCTTGGTGCAGAACTTGAAGTTTAAAACGAAATATTTGATTTAGTTTTCGATCTTAATTGACTTTCCGGTATGACCGTGGCACTTGATTGTGTGTCAGAATTCATTTTTTATTTGTAATTTTTTGTGTATTTATTTCAAAATAGATCTTTCATTTAAAAAAAGTTTTTTTTATGATAAAATTGTACACTTGAACGCAAATGAAATTCGAGACGAAAGAGATTCAACGATTTGTTCTTATTGTGTTCTTTTGACCTATAGACGCTAGACAAGCAGTCTTTTGTTGTACTTCTGTTGCAAGGTACACATGCGTTTTTATGACTTCAAGTTCGCTTTTTCTCATAGTTGATATTAGAAAAAAGCGCGCTTTCCACCGGATGATTTTCCTATGATTTATATATGCAGTAATTATTTTCATATAGAGAAAATGCATTATTTTTAAAAGAAGCTTTCGTTTGCAAATATAATGACATAGTTATATAAACAAGTCAAACAGACGACTTTTATGTTTGTAGCGGTAGTATTGTTTCTTTTATTAGTTGAAGACAAAGGATTAATTTAATTCTATGTAAGTAAAGTTAAAATAGAACGTCACTGTTTGAAAGAGACATGATTTCGGAGTCGAAATGACTTTGAAAAGAGCAAAACATGAAGGCACTACTTTTTCTTTTTGTAGAATTAGCGAAAAGTTTCATATAGAGTGTCGATGTTTTTAGATGAGAAAACTAAACAACATCATGGATGAATAAAATCGATGATAGATAACTTATGAGAGATTTTAAAAAAGACATTATAAAACAGATTGCATTACATTTTGAGCAGGCTTATAGCAAGAATTACGTTTATTTAGTAAGAGATCCGACCTTCTGAACTTTATTATCTTTTGGTTTGTAAATAATAGATAATAGACGAAACAAATTCAGAGTAAAATAAGAACGTAAACATGACTAATGAATATTTACTCATGGTTTTCTCTGGTCAATTTTCTTCTTATGTTTTCGCATGAACCTAAAAAGTTCTCTTGCATTTCATAGCTTCTCAAGTACCTTTGCAACGTTCCTGTTTATATATATCACGTTGCATACTTCTTAGACAAATATGTCAACAATATTCAAGGAAGCAGAGACGCTGTAAAATAATAATACATGAAAAACACTGGTTTTTCAATGGTAATTTGATTTATTTTCCAGTCACTTAATAGGGAACTCATTTTTAATAAATTTTGATTTTGACAGTTTGAAATACCATTAATGTATGACGATAAATTAAACAATCAATAATAAATGACTATATACTTTATTTTATGTTATTTTATTTTTTATTATCTTATCGATGACCTAGAAATATTTCACTTTACTTTACTTTACTTTTTCAAAGTCCAATAAAGGTAAAGTGCCTCCACTAGATCCAATAGTCTCCTATTACGTATAATATCTCATCATGATGTTAAAATGGTAAATAAAGTCAAGAATAATAATGATCACGATTAATAAAGACCAATAGATAATAACGGCAATCTTATGAAATCGGTCTCTGTTAAGTTGTAACGGTTAGTGAAAGTTTAAACGGACGTTTGATATTATAAATAATAAACACCGTTACAGTTTCGTCTGAAGCAGATTTACGACACATTGGAATGAGTGAGGACGAGTAAGATAGGCATGAGAGTAACGAGAAAATTCTTGTTCTTAAATTAGCTAATCATTCATTCCATATTTATATTTGACAGTCGTAATCGAACTCGGGAGACTATAAACAATAAACATGATCTGTCCATTTTTTATTCAAAAAAATTCTCTAGTATTCATCATGGCGCACGTTTATCTAACAATTGATTTAATGTTTTATACATTTTTCGTACTGTATGATTGACATTATCAAGTTTTTTCTCGACATTTTCCATTTTCAATTTCATTGTAGACATTTGTTTAACGGTTTCATCAATTGTTATACTTGTCTCACGATGAATCATCATTATTTCAGCTAGACCTACACAGTTATCGGTTAATTTTCGTTGTTTTTCTTTAGTTTTTTTAATATCATAGATGGATTCGAAAAATTTTCGTTGTACTGTTATGTATCGAATTGATCGTTTCTTATTCATTTTTTTTAAATACCACATCTTCCATGCATATATAAGAACATTGGCTGCTTGATGCGTACGTTGTTTGGCTAGTTCACTATTTAAAACAAAATCGTGAACATATTTTTCCCATCGAGATAGGGCAAGTTTTTCTGCCACGACAGCTGTAAGTAGAGCAGCAACCAAAATACCAATCGTACTTGCTATGGCAGCTACACCTAATGATGATAATATTTCGAATTAAATAATTTAACATTAGAGAACTATCAATTTTTCATTCGGATCGATTTCAGAGTAATATGATATAGAAAATACAAAAATTTACATGAAGCAAAATCCTCGATACTTTTGAAAATGTTTTCAATTTTCTCTATCGAATTTCGAATCATGCGTGAAATTCATCCTAAATTCGACTCGAGAGAAAATTTGATCAGTTTTGTCGTGCTTTTTTATCGATAAGTTTTGATTTACCTCGTCCACAATAGGTCGCCGGTGTCAAATCTCCATAACCTGAAAAACGTAATAGAATTTTACTTTTTTTTTCTTGTTGAACTATTCCGATTCGAAACATACCCACTGTAGTAAATGGTCCAATAAAGAGCCATACTGCATCGAATATCGATATATGTTCATTGACCGATGTAAAATCACATGCACGCAATGACCAACTACCAATAAAAATGACAATTGTACAAAATATTACCAAACAAAGTGTTGGAGATTGTTGAAAATAAGTTTTAATAACAAAGAAAAAATCAATTGATACTCTGTTGAGATAGCCAAGTGCTTGTGATGATGTATCTTGAACCAAATGGGAATGAAATGTAATAAAACGACACCACATATACAAACGACCAAACACTATATTCAAATGTACAAATTCGAAAATCATTGACAAACATCTAAAACAAAACTTACTCGGTAAACCAAGTGCAACATCAACAGGAATATATTTTAAAGAGATTGAAATCAGTGTAGAACGATTAGTCATTGTTAAATTTGAATTCGTTTTTTCATTTTCAGAATATACATCAATAGGAAAATATCGAGGAATCGGATGAATAGAACAAAGTAATATTTCTAAAATCATTAGACCTAATTTTCTTCGTGTCAATCCAACAAACCAGTATTCAATAGAATTATTAACACAATAAAGACTTATATCTAAATAATGATAATAGATAACAAGACTAATTAGAATTATGGTCGATATTGTTATTATCAATTTGACAATCCAACTTGCAAGATTATCATGATGATCGACATGCATAAAAGTTATTTCATTTTCGACAATCATTAAAATAATACCCAATAAGCCAACAACACACATGATATCATTTACTTGACAACTATATAGACGAAAAACTAATCAAAAATTAAAAGTACAAAGAGAAAAAAAAAGAATTTCTCACCATCTTTGATGTAATTTTTTTCTCTTTGTCAATCGATAACTTACACAAGCTATCGATAATGTTCTAGCAAATCTTCGTTTCATAGGCAATTTTGAATCAGATTTATATTCATCATTGATTATATTGTTTGTTGATGATCGATCAGAAAGAATCGGTGATTGTTCACCGGGATCAATAGTTATAGTTAATGATTTTAATGGTATCGAATTATGTGTTTCTGCATGTTTAAGAATTTTTTGACTGTCAGAAAAGGAACGCTTCATACTTTGTTCAATGGAAGCCATTAATCTTGTTCAGTATTCTATATAGAGTACGTTATTTATCGAGAAAGTCGAGAAAGACATGTAAAAAAATCTTGATTGTAATAAATTCGTTGATGATTGATATTTCTATGAACACGCATAACGATGTCGATGGTAGCTGATCGTCTATTATAGAATAGTTTGATCATTCTGTTCTTGGACAAAAAAAAACTGTTCTTCAGTGATCCAGAAATAGGGCGAAATGGTTAAGGTCAATAAATACAACACTAATTTGAACTTGTTGTCTAACTTCGTTAGTGTTCTACTGGGAGAGAAAATGACGAAAAAATGCTAGTAGACACGTTGAACATAGTCCCTTGACATTTACGTGTTTATTTGTACAAATATTAATGGAAGTACACGCGATGTGATCAAAGATCAAGAGTAATGATCAGATATTGTGTGATGTGCATATTCAGCAGGGGACTTGAATTCCTAAATGTCATTTTTTCTTCTCATCACATATGAGCGTCATTGTTGTAAATATGTATCGAAGTCGACGGTTCTTTTCATATTTGATTCGGACCTAATTCTACAATACACTACGTCAATAGTATGTCGACAATCTAGTCATAACGTTTTTTATCGCAGCTATGATTCACACTGTACAAAACAATTTTGAGATAAAATCGAGCAAAATGATACATTCAGAAAAACTTAGACCAATTACTGTTTGAATGTATTCGGCATAAAACGATACCATGGGTACGATATAATATCAAATCATGCACAGTCACGTTCAATGTGTCTATTGTATTATAGATGACTATGAAAATCAGTTTCTGAGTAAAGATACAAAATTTATCGTTAGTACTGCAGAACGACTGATATTTTGCTATTTTCTTCTTCTCTAGTGTAGTTAAAACTGAACAATTAACTATAGCAAAAACCTGTTGTTGTACCAAAATATTCTGTGATGATGAAACATGATTTAATTAAGAAAAAGACAAGCCCATTCGAAAGTCATGCGTAATTGAAAGAAATCTCTTTCAACAATGAAAATAAACGGTGCATAGCAAATTCATACAAACAAGAAGATGATATAATCACAGCTAATATTTATTGCTCTGTTTGTGTTCAGTATGAAAAAAAAATACAAATAAAAAAAACTTAGTTGCATCTGACTTTTGAAATTATCTGCTTGCACTCAAACACAAATTGTGCATATTTGATCATGTAGAGACTAATTCACAAGAGAAATAAATGAATAAATAAATACATGCTAAATCGAGCGTTCGCGAACATTAATAGGAATAGAAATAGATGAGAGTTCAATCGATGAATTCATATAATCTACTTGATCAAATTTGAAAAAACGCTAGACAAAGCTGTGTAAAACAACACAACTTAGAAAGTCCATCACGATTTGGATCAATTTCAAGTCGTCAATTACAAGTTTAGTTTTCTCTTGATCATTCATACATATTCTTATTGAATTTTTCAATGGGTTTAGCGATTTGTCTCTGTCTGTATGAATTGTAAACATTCATTTAAATCTTTTTGATCCATCTTCAGTTGCAATTTTGCCATGAAATGAAATTTATTGAATAGTAAATAAAAACTGAGCGGTTATATACTAGAGTAGAAAAAAAATTATTGTGAGTATTCGATAAAATTTTTCCGATAAACATGATAAATATCGGAATCTTTCTTTGTTACGCAGTCTATGCATAAAAGAGTATATAAATATAATAATTAATAGTGGTGTGGGGTGTGGCCACCGTTGAAGAGAAGACCTACTCACAGACTCAGAACCACACAGACACCCTCTTTGAATGATATGTAACCATTGAAAGTTCAAAGAAGCAAAAATTCAGTATTGTATAAACTAAATGACATATGGTCCTTTCTATCTTTTATATATTTATAGACTGAAAACAATTTAAATTGTTTTTTTCATATTTATTACAACATAAAAAGCAAATGACGAAAGACGATAATAGCATCGATACTGGTTAATGTCTATGATATAATTTCATCAACAGGCAACCATTATTAGAGATGGCGGTCGTGATATAAGTGTCAATTTATACTTTGATTTTAGGTTTGGGTTTGTATGTTTTTGATTTTGGTATGAGTCAGAATGTGATTCTGAAGATCGGTTCCGCTGTGGATACGTATGTGACTAAGGCTATTTATGAGTGTAGGTCACATTGCTTTGAATGTTTCTTCATGATCGTTTGGAATAGTACGCTGTGATACAATAATTATAAAAATGGTGCGACACGACAACGACTATTAATCTTCTCAATTATCCCAACCAGATGTGACACTGCAAATCTTAGTGCATTGCAGAGACCGGCAAAAACACTCAAGAATGTGGTCAAAAGGTCTAGAGCATTGAATCGATAATGATATGTGTATGTGCAATGTTTTGGACTGCACGCATTGAAATACATTTCATAAGATACATTACTCGTCCACGATTCAACAAGCATGTTATAAGCCATTTTCTCGACGGTGTCATTCACGTCAAACCATGACACGGTGACATTCATCAAAACATAAGAGCTAAAAGTCGGTCCACTGCAGCATGGGCCATCCGCCTTGCAATGGTGTCATTACAAATCGAAATTCTTTAATGCACCTTGATGAATAGAAACAGAACAAAGAAGAACGCAGGATTGTCTCGAGTATAGAGCAACCAAGAACCAAACCTTCGATTGTGTAATCGTTTGGAGATTCAGAACCAAAGTATCTAGCGGGCACTGAGCAAGCTCTTGAAGTGGCACAAGAATAAGCTTTATTATGATCGTTTGTATTGCGAATGACGGGTATAATTAGAGAAGAAACATTTTTGTTTGTGTTGTTTCCTACAATAATAAACTCTCAATTCAATGAAAATACATCCATCAAAGCATTACGCTGTGCAGTTACACGAATAAGATCCAGTATTTGAGCAAATGGAATAGGTGTTGCTGTTAGTAAACGTTACAAAGTCGTATTCATTTCGTTATAAAACTCAGCTCGAGTTACTGTTTGATACGTGAGCATACTTGAATCCAAAAATACACGAATACTTTCATGACCAGTTTTCTGTGCTATTGCACAAATTTCCTTCAGGCTATCAACAAAGAGTCTTCTCCACGATATAAGAGCATTTCGATTAACGAAATATAGCTGCTCTCTCACCTGAATACAAGCAGTCAAAACTGCCGCAACAATGACGCTAGTGCATGCATGATGATATTTGACCTTAACCTCAGGAATAAATGTACTATACGGTATCGATATGGTTGTATACGGACAATCAAAACTGTCAAGACCGAGATGACTGAGATGTTCATAATCGATAACAGATGACTGTAACTGGATTTTGGAGATGACACGATTAATAATAGACGAATAAAAGACTAATACTCCAAGAGAGCTTATTAGAAGAACTAGATACACTCCCGTGTACAGTTTTTGCTTTTGTACGTTGGCTCCGTGAATGGAACTCGTTTGAAATAGATTAATTTCCTTCATTGATTCAATAATCCTAGTTACTAAATAATTGCCACGTGTTCTATTGACAGGTAATTCTACAGTATAAAAAGTCCCTTCTTTCTTGAAAAAATGTTTTTAGTACAAACTTTTTTTTATTTTTGATGATCATTTCCTATAGTGAAAAAGTGACTTTTTCTTTGAAAACGTTTTGCCAACAAAAACAAATGTTATTAGGAAAAATGAGAGTTGCTTTTACTAAAAATTAAATTTCATAAGTCTTCAAAAATGTATGTGTACATGTAACTTCACACGCACAAACAAACATGGATAAGTACAAACGCATCATATATTATATAACTCTCCTCACAGTTGGGGAAATACATGACTAATGAATGAGTTCGATATTATAATATTTATTAGTATATTAGTATCATTACTTTCAGAGAATTTTAGTGTATTCGAACAAAAATACTGATAACACAATCAATTCTAGATCAGTTTACTGAATATTCAATATGGCTGGGTACCGCGTGGATCAGTCGGGACTATAACTGCGGCATATCTGGGCTACACTAACTTTTTAATTTGTACACTAAATGATTCCTGAAATGTTTTCCGTTGGTTCAAGGTGAGTTTATTACTAAATCTTAAATGGTAGCTGATATTTATGTAATGAAAACATCATGTACTCGAGTATTACTTTACTCATAAAGTTTTTTGGGAAAATTTTCAAAGAAATAAAAGCGCATCTATTCTACAAGGTTCACTTACCACGAACGACTTTCCGTGTTTTCCATTTGTCAATACAAAAGAAAGCAATCGCACAAATCAATGATAAAAGAATTTGAAGACCTCGATTGAGTCCACCACATATACTCATAAGTAATAGTATAGCGACGATAGTATCGCGTTGTCTCGTAATTCGATAGGAACAGGTATTGGGAGCACATTGATCATAGAAAAGATCGAAGTGTGTTTCATTCGTGATTTCTCTTTTTACGAATAGTTTCAAAATTAAATTTTTCGTATCTCCACTTGTAAACTCTAGAGACGCTGATCGTTTGAGTGGTTTGATATAAGGTGGAGATGAAGAATTAATAACTAAAGTATATGTTTCGAAAACATTTTGTACATAACTCATGTTATGCCACCAGTTTATTTTGGAGTTGAGGAATCCAAGCAAAGATATACAACTAATTTGAAGCTCGTCAAAAATTTGAACGAAGTTGATAAAGTTTGTTCCATTTGTATAAATGATAGGCTTCACAAAGCAAATATCAGTGTCTACTGCGCATGAGCATAATCCGGTACTAATTAGGGTATTAGTACTTATTTGCATGTTGCAATGATACTCAGTATCATAAAACATCACTCGATTGTTATCTATGACTGAAATGCGAAAATTCATATTCGTCCCAGATAGATACGGACTAACTATCTCAGCAATTTCAGTTCAACTCCATATACGTACAAAGTCACTGTGTGTTTTACTGACGAATGATTCAGCAATGGTCTGAATTTGCTGAACAAATAAAGATTGAGACGGAAGATTA